CAAAGCTATTTTAACAGTTCAAAGTCAAGGTTCATCCTTAGAACACAGTAACTAGAGAGGGCCATGCCAGAACAGCAACAGCATATGCCAGTCGTCTATCCAGTGACAGACTGGTGTTAATACTAAGACAATAATTTAGGTAGAGAGATTCTGAAAATGCTTATGCCTTTTAGCTTCAGAAGCCCTCCTAAGAGGTTTGGAGTTCATTAATATTTCTAAACTACTTTAGAATCCTTGAAATTCTTATTATTAGAAGTCTGACAGGTTGAATACTGAAAACAGATTTGAATGTTCCATAGTGACCATCTGCGGAAGGGTCATCATTCATATATGTTTTTCTTTATTTCCTAATTGATGCAAATGCTTTTAGTTTTCAGCAAAAATGGGAGAATATCTGTCATTACTGACTCACTGCTTCACTATATAGCAGGAAGTGAGGAATGAAGCCAGAAGAGCCAGTGGCTTGCTTTGGTCAGAAAGATATGGATGAAGCTGAGAATGTACTTCCGCTCACTGAGATTACCTAATAAAAATGTGGCACTTACTGCATTTCCCAGTGTTAGCAGGATTCAGTTTTGGTATTTAATTTCCTTCAGATAGTGTGACTATTAAGTTTTCTATACTCGTGATTCTTTTTAATGAAGTTTCTTTCAGATTGGTTTCTGTTGCTGGTTTGCATGTAAACAGTTTTTGGAGAACTGTTTATCTAGGCATGTCTTGTTTTTAAGTCTCTTTATTAACATGTGCAATGCAGCTCTGATTTGCAGATTTAATGTGCCATGGTTATAAGCATGCTAAGTCATGTGGCATTTTCATAGTAAATGTCTATAAATAAATTTCTCAAATGGATATTTTAAATTAATTTTTAAATTAATGCATTCTAAGTGAGCAGAAACCATCAACTGATTTAAGGTGAAAAATCTCTTTTGAAATCACTCTTTGAAATTCAAAACTTGCATTATATATTTTTGTGGTCTAGAAAAAGCATCGAAAAGCAGATCAGTAGATGTGGAGAGAAACGTAAGAGCAGAGGAAATGACAATGTCTGTTTCCCCTATAATCCAGATGAAAGTAATTTTTTTAATCAGATGAATTAAATTCAGAAGCCAAAGTAAAGCATCCTTGGCTCAAGAATATGCTCTATTTATGGATATATCTGTTCTCTATTCTCAACATGTAGATAAATATGTGACTAGTATTGATAAAGGTTTAAATTGTTCAGTGCTTTGTAAAAACATTGAAACTCATTCTCAATGTCCTCTTACATGACAAAAATGAGTTGCTCTACCAAGAGAGTTCTTGTACGAAATATTTTTAAAGCAGTTGGGAGCAGAACTAGCATTCCTGTGTTTTCTACTGTGTGGGAATATCTTCTGTAACTTGTTTTACTGACACATTCATGAAAATTGGGGAACAGAAGTGCAAATGGCTACTTTAGATGTGATGCACAAAACAGTTTTAAGGAAGAATCTGGAGTAATGGAGGAGAACTGAATATTTTAATCATGGGAAAACCTAAGAAAGTACCACCCCCTTATTAACTAATGAAGTGTCAATCTGTGAATATTCCAAACTCTATGCAAAAGTTAGCATGTGAAAAGGAAGTTCTGCTGTGGATAAATTAGAAAAAAAAAGTCGTTGTTCTACCATAATTCAAAGTAGAAGTGTTAGTACAATGAGTTACCACAGGATTATTCTTTTTCCATTAATGACACAGAAAATACAACTGAAGTTATTAATCCAATCCTGAATTCTTTAACTGAGATTTGAGTTTCTGTGGAACACACTTAAGTAACTGATTTAGAAAAAGACATTAATATTAAAAAAGAAAAAAGACCATCTTTTACAATATGTTTATGAAAATGAATTGTTAGATGATCACAATTCATCAAAAAATCAAAGATTTTTTCTATACAAGCTTCATTTTGGGACAAATATTTTCCTTTTTTTTCTGTACTTTGCTCAGAGGAAGAGGTAACGTTTTATTATAAGTCATATACGCACAACAGCAGCTGGGAATTCATATTGCTTTAAGTTTTTTTCTCATTGAAGCCCAATATGAAATTCTGTCTATTTTTAAGCTACTGCCTACAAATAATACATAGCCTTATTTTTATGGCTCTGTGGTCAGCAAGCACAATAATGACTAACAGAATAGTCACTGTGCCTGATGTTGATAATAAGCAAATAGTGTCGAGACTAATTAATGTTTGCAGGGATGAGACTATTGTATTATAAACTGATTTGGATTTGCAGTACATATTTCATAAGAACAGGTCAGGAAAGAATATTTGATTTTTTGTTTCAGCAAATAATCCTTGTTATTATCGGGAGACTCCTAGAGTCAAGAAAAACAAAGCTATACTAGGAGAGAAATAATTAAATTTTATCATTGCATAACTGATTGTAAGCTCTACCAGTAAAAGGTCTCCTAGAAAACTGCAAGACTATTATGCTTCCCATACTTTTTCTCTTAACCTTCTAGTTTATCATGTAAGAGATGTTTGTGTATTTGTGTATATATCTTGCCCAACACAATCAAACATTCATTATTTCTGTGTTAATAGTAGCATGATCAAAACATTCCAGCTATTTTTCCTAGTTCAGTTTTCCTATGCTGCCAAGCATAAAGTGTAATGCAGGGGGGCATTTCTCCACCTGAAGCGTGTATGTTCTGGACAAAGTTCAGATGTCAACATGACTCTGTGGCCAACACACCAGCTTTATGGATTTTTAGAGGTTGATACCACTCTCTCTCCAAGTTTTTATGAATAGTTAAAGGCAATGCTATCTGTGGACATGAGAGATACAACTTCTCCACTGAGACTGGCACACTCTTAAAGAGGTGCTTATAGCGTGGACACATAATGCCACATAAAATAATGCCAAAAGGATAATTGTGTGGTCCATTTTAGTTCTTTTTTGTGATGTGTCCTCAGAGGATTCCAGTATTCCTCAAAGCAAAATAAATTTCTTTGGATGTCTGCACCATCCAGCATTTCATGATCAGTGACTAATGAGTGTTCATCAGGAGTTTTCTTTTAATTCCTCTCCTGAGTTTACCAAGCATGAAGAGACACACCAACTTTCAGAAATGTGTCTGCAATGACTGCTGTTTATAAATTCACTAGCTTTTTTTGTTTTTTTCTGTCAACATCATTGTTTTGGTTTTTCTTTTTTTTTTTATTTTTTTTTTCATTCAGTTAGTGATACGCTGAATAATGCCCTCTGAAAAAAAATTTTCCTGACTTAAATTCTTAAAAATTGTCTCATTACCTATGTAATCAAGATCTTATTAGTCCACTTGTTTGAAGAAACTTGAGCTGCCATCTTGCACATCCAAAGTGTCATTATAGGGTACTTCTGGTGTATTTTGAAATGAGATATTCTCAAATGTTGATAATAATGAACTGCACAATAGTTTCTGAATTAACTTGTGAGAAACAGCAAGGGCTATCCTTGCTTCAGAAAACATAAAATGAGTAGGAACTGAGGTCTGCTACCCCTCCAACAACTCCAACAGTCATTCAGCAGGGCTTTCACTCTTCATGATATTGAAAGGAAAGACAGAGAACATGCTAAAAGAAAGATATTCTATCCTAGGTTTGGATGTTTTGATTTCCAGTGACTGAACTACGGTTCTTTAGCTGCTGGAAATACTTGAGTCATGGTAAGAAAATCTGGAGTTTCAAGAGGAAAGTTACCATACTGTAAGGCAGATGTAAATACTTCTTGCAGATGAAAGAGGTAGGTTCAGGTTCACACCAGTAAGGAAGATTTACCCCAAGTCACCAAATCCCATCTGGCTTTTCCAGTGAGCCTCCAATCCTTTGACCAGTTAAAGTGACTCACTCAGATTTCTGCTTTCTCTTCTAAGCGTTTTCCTTCTTTTACTTTTTCACATTATCTCTGCCTTTAATATATCATTCAATTAGATATTTGTTTGTTTGATTTCTTTTTGTTTACACAACTGGATTAATAAGTACATTGTGAGTGAAATAAAGCTTTTTTTTGTTATTTTGTGCTTGGCAACTTTTATGTGTGCCACTCTTTTTATTAGCTAGGAATTACATTCTGGTGATGTAAAAATAAGAGCAATTGGATGGGACAAATAAATCATTTTGACCTTTATAGGCCTTACATATATTAAATATGTATGGAATTTCACAAAATGAAAGCAGGGATGAAAAATTATCAGGAAAAGTAGTTATGGTATATAAAATAATTTTTTTTCCTTTTTTATTATTTTTTTCTGGAGTTAGTCAAGAAGGCTTGGGAGGGTTCTGTAATTGCTTCATTTGTTAAAAGCCATTGTAAGTAATTCCAACTTTGAGAAAAGTCTTGTCAATCTCTACTTTTGTGCTCATTCCCTCTGCTTCCATTACCCACTTCAAGGCTTTTACTTTACCTGCTAGGCAAAGTGCCCAGAAGCCAAGGGAGTAAAGCAGGGAAGTTTAGTTTTGCTTCTAGGGTAGTGTCAATGGCTGCTCTGGGAATCAAATGTTTCTGATGCTCTGAATGTGTAATGGTGATGTTCCAAAAGGCTTATGTGTCACCTTGACATCAAGTTAATGTCAGAGAGGCATGCTTTGAAACAAGGCTGATCACACTGGTTTGCAGTGACAGGAAAATAAGCTGAATAATATCTTTGTTTCTGCTTTCTTTTCTGCTTTTCCATTCCATGATTTTTAGTCAAAATACATGAGTATCTTGCCTTTGACAAGGTTGTATACTGCTGTGCAAAATACCACCTGTTAGCAATTTGTATCTTTGTGACTCATGGTGGAAATATTGTTTTGTATCAAGAGAAATAAAACATTGTGGAAGAAATTAAATGTGGTGTTCCTTTGGGTTTCTCCAAATTATATATATTTTTTTCCACGTTGTTTTTTAAAATGTCTGTGATTTTAAAAGTTTGAAAGTAATATTCTTATATAGTTTTCTGTTACTTTGGATTATATATTACAACAAATATATATTTATTGTTATATTTCTTCATAGATATTTCATTGATCATAACACAGAAGAAGATAGGTATTTCACAATTGATGCTAGTACTGGAACCATTAAGACTGCCAAGATCTTTGACAGAGAGGAGACACCTTGGTACAACATCACAGTGGCTGCTTCTGAGATAGGTAAATAATTTATTTGGCATGTAGTATGAAAAATAAAAATTAGAAAGGAAGCAATCACTCTCAGATTTTGAGAAAGACTACCTTAATATGCTATGTTCTTTTAAATACCAGTGGGTTTTTAGTTAGTGCAGATAAAGGAGAGTTTTCTGTGTGTTTGTGAATACTCTAACTCCAGAGAACAATTAAACAAAATCACATGCCTATGTGAGTCCACCTGTGTAAATTTGCCAGATTTCTCTGCGTGGGACAGAAGGCTGCCAACTTATCCAGCAACATTTCTGAGCATTCAATCTCCTAAAATCAACAACTTGTACCATTTGTGTTTCACAATTCATATGTTTTAGAAGTTTGCACTCTTTAGTACTGTCTGAAAAATTAATCTTTCCTTCTTGTATCTACTATCAGCTGTTTTAGCAAATTGCATGCTAATTGTGTGCCCATATTAATTTATATTTCACAGATGCCTAGCAGGTTCTGGTGATGTTTCTGGCCTTTTAATAGGCAAATTGCCAAGATATAATAAATACTTACCTGTGCATTTGAAAGTCCTCTAACTTTGATGAATCTCCATTGCCTCAGATAAGCCCTGCAATGATCAAAAGCCATCTGATTGAGGAGTTTAAGACAAATATTTCTACTTGGAGCAAGGACAGTTTAAAGAACATTTCAGTTAAGCTTTTTTATTGCAGGGTCTTTACTTTTCCACAGTCAAAGTTTTAAATAAAAAAAAAAAAAAAATCCTCAATAAGGCAAATGAAGAAAGAAAAAGTCCCATTCTGGATTGATAGATTCAATCCTCTCAAGCACTGTTCATAAAATCATCTTTCAGTGGTAATGATTTTGATCAAAACTGTAAAATGCTTTTATTTGTATTAATTTTCTTTCTTTTTTTTTCTTTTAATTTTTTTTAATGATAAACCACAGGTTTTACCTCTAACAGGTTCCACTGACATAATTGAGTCTGGTCTGCTTTCATCTGTTTAATCTCTTAGTTAAAATTTAGTACACTAGTACATGTTAGAAAATAAACAGCATGAATGTATTTCATAAAGACAACAAATTGATTCCTATTATTTTACCTACATTCACAACTAAATTGATATTTTGAGCTAAATACTTTCCTAGAGTTAATAATAGGATCTAGAATTTTATTATTAGCTCCTTGAAAAAGTAAACACTAACACTCCTGTGTGCTTGACAGTGTTGACATATATAGAATGTCATTTCAGTTCAGCATAAGACTGAATTCAGCAAAATAAAATATAATTAAATTAAATATAATTAAGTCCTAATCATAAGCAGGTGCATACTGTTAATTAAAAAAAAAAAAAATTAAAAGCTACACTGGGACACTGAAAAAAACAGTCCTTTTTTGGAAACCATTGAAATGTAATTATTTTCCAGAAAGAAATCTCAAGAGCATAAAAATTAAACATAGCTTTCTCCACATTATTTGTTTCACATAATCAAAAGAGTGCTGGTATGTGTATCATGCTGAGAATAGTATGAAGAAGGAGGATTACGTTTGTATCTAAAACAGAATGAAATAAATTGTAAGAATTATACCACTTTTTTCTTCTTTTATTTTTTTTTTAATTTTTAGGTGCTCTGCTTAGAAATTTCTGTTTCAGGTGCAATTTGTTACAGGAAAACATGAATCTGATTTTTTTTGTCCCTTGCAATGCCTTTGTTACTGCTAAAGCTGGGGTTGGAAAAATAAGTAAATCTAAAGGGTCAGTTGAAAAAACAATTCATTTATGAAAAAAGGAAGAGATAGTAGTGAAGAAGAGATGGATGACAGACAGACTGACAGGCAGCCTAAATGACAGACAACCTTTCCTTGTGTCTACTTCCTCAACCATTTTGTTGTGTACAGTAATTTGAAAATTAAAACACTGTTCTCTTCCAAATCTATTGTGAACTTAATAACTGAATTTATTGTGGAGCAAGGAGCATATGTTGTGTATGGCCAAAGCTCTTCCTTTAAGTGCTATCAGACCCATATCTAGTCTTATGGCTTTTGCTTTCAAGTTCACGCACAAAGTATTGCAGAACTAAGAGTAAAGCAGAACTACCAGTCAAAGGCTATGACAAAAGTGTTATTTAGCTGTGGGGGTGGTATTCCTCAAATTTATCTGACATAGTAGAAGGCATTTGCAGTTTCTGACACTGTTTACTTGGCCTAGAACATGGCAGAACCTGCAAAACCCATAAAGATTGTATTCCTTCAATAGCAAGAGGTGCTCTGTGGGTATAAAGTGTTGATCGTAGTTAGTTTCTTGGAGTGTTTTCCTCTTTTTGTGCTACATTTCACTGACAGAATTCAGTTTCTACCTGTCATCCTTTTGGCCACTATTTGTAACCAGGCTTATTTTACATAAGTGAAATTTAAAATTAACATTATATTTATACCCCAAATTGTGTGATATCTTCGTGCTTCAACCTTATTCTTTCTCAAACTTTCATAAGATATTTACTTTCACTTTTCATCTCTGTATGTGATATATACTGTCTGCATTGGTCAAATATCCTCTCTGAAATCTGAAGAAGTCCTACCTCTTTGCTCTGTGGAAATAATGCTGATGTAATAATCCACAGGTTTTTTCTGTTTGTGCTCTTACTTCTTAAAGCACACCATTACTACTAAAATTAATGGGCAATCCTTTTCTTTCTTTAACGTACATTGTTCTTAAACAGCAGCATTTTCATGTCCAGAAGCATTTACCTTGATTGTTTCAGTACTGGCGCTTCCTGAAATCTCTTTGTAGTATTAGGAAATGAGATGCTCAAGTTGTACTATGGTTTATGTTGAAGGATCTAGAGACTAAATCTGGGGCAGGGGGAAGGAGCAGTCATACTAACAGTAGTACTAATACTTTAAAATACAGATTCACATAGAATTATTACCATTTAATTGACTTTGTAGAATTCTTTGAAAAAAAATTTAAAAAGTCTTTTGAAAGACGGAGAAGATATAATTTATTTGATTCTAGTAAAGGTTTTAAAGAAGTCTTTGACAAGAGTAATGAGAATAGAAAAGCACAGAACAAATGCACAATATTTTATAACACATGATTTAGAGAAAAGAAATACAGTCATAGTATAGTAATACTAAGAATACAGTCTGTCCCTCTGGAAGTGGAAAAACTTAAGGCTGAGCTATTTTAAGGACTTGCAGAGAATCTGTCAATTAGAATTCATTATAATGATAGCACTCAATGATAGGAAGTGATTCAAATTCCAAAATTACCTCCCTAGCTAGTAAGAATTAAGGATGATTGAGAGAGATTCATGTGAGAACAAGACACATAGAAGAATGGGCTAGATAACTGAAGGGTGAAGTGGATGGAAAACTGTCTGGAATGGCAGATTCAAAGGGCTGTAACCAGCAGTCCAGATAGCAGCTGTAGTTCAATCACTAGGAAGTACTCCTGGTGGCTTATGCAGGACACAATACTCTCTTCATTAATGATTTGGTATGTGGAACAGAGTGCTTTCTCAACCATCTCACTCTCTTTGGCAAATGACACGAGACTAGAATAATGACTGATACATTAGACTGTCATGTTGACAACCAGAAAGATCTCAATAGGCTAGAGAAATGGGGGAAAAAGAAATGAAGAGAGATTTAATAACAGGAAAATTAAATAATGAAGAGACATTTAATAACAGGAAATTCAAAGTTGAGCACTTGGAGAGGAATAATTCTATGCACCAATTCACATGGAGGGCCAACTGGCAGGTGGGCAGCTTTTGAAAGAGGGATATGGTGGAGATCCTGGTGGATGAAAGCTGGGTGTGAGCCAGTGATGCACTCTTGTGGCAAAAGAGGCCAATGCCATTCTGCACTGGGTGAGGAAAACTGCAATCAGCAGGCTGAGAGAGGTGATCCTTCCCCTCTATACAGCCCTGGTGAGGCCACATGAGGAATGCTCCCGCATTTAGGCTCCTCAGTACAGAAGAGATGTGGACATACTGGACTAAGCCCAGTGCAGGGTCATGAAAGCATGAAGACTGGAGTATCTCTCATATAAGGAGAGGCTGAAAAAGCTCGGATTGTTCAGCATGGAGGTGTGATGGCTCAGAAGGAGCTTATCAGTCTGTTTAGATAACTGTTAGGGGAAGTCTAAGAGGTGACTGAAGATGATCAACATCAGGAAAGACTCATCTGAGTAGTACCCAGTAAAATGACAGGAGGTCATTTTCTGTGCTTCAAATTGAAGCACAGAAAATTCTATTTAAACCAAATAATAAAAATGGTTTTACTGTGAGGATGATCAAAAATTGGAACAGGTCACATTGAGAGGTTGTGAATTCTCTGTCTTGGAGACATTCAGAACCCAACTGGACCTGGTTCAGAGCAATGTACGCTGTAGATCCAGCTTTGAGCAAAGGAGTTGGACTTGCAAATCTATGGAGGCACCTTCAAAATCGATTATTCTGTGATTTTTTGATACTGGGAACTGTGCTTCTAACATGGAGAAGAAAATAAAAGAAGAAAGCAGAGCAAACCAGCTTCTTGATATGTTTTTCAGGTGATGTTAACATCAAAAGTTTATTGGAGTTAATAAAATACTGACATTTAGATGGATAATAACTGTGCATCTAATTTGAAATGTGATTTTTTTTTTTAATGCAAGATAAGTGCTTATATTTTAAAGATTTTAAAAGTGCCTTTTAACTGCGAAGTTGTCACTTATTTCTCTCATGCAGCTGGTTATCATATAAGTGTGTAGAATGGATTTCTGGGTTTATTAGATCATCAGGAGTTTTGGGATCAGGTTGTGGTGCTCCTGATTGTCTCCAAAATGCTCTGCAGTAGCTGAAAATGAAAAATCAGACCATTTTCCACTATTTGCTTAAAGGACCAACTTGAATTCAATGGGTACAAAAACTTGTGATTGAAGGGACAATAAGGAGTTCCTAATTTGTAAAGCTGTGGAGAGGCTGCATAGAACAAGAGAACTGAAATAATGGTGTCTCATGCCAGGTTCTGTCAG